GGAGGTTAATGTCCTTCACACTGTGGAGGGAGTTCACGGGTCCATTCTGGGGTCCAAGCAACTCTGTCTCATGGTCAATTCCCTGGATTTCTCTCAAGTTCATTGCTACCCACCTTCCCAGTTTTGTCTTCACGCTGTCTGTGTGTGGCTGGGAGTGCAGGAGCCATAGTTTGGGGAGATAAATAGGTTAGTTGGTCAAAACCCACACAGCATTTGCCTGATCTTAGAAACATACCCACCTCAGGGTGGATCAGGATTCTGTTTTTGCAAAAGAGAAAACTGAGGCCCAGAGGAGCGGGAGGCTGTGTTCCCTCGGCTGCCTCTCTAATACCACCCGACACTGGCCAGTGGGTGTGTGGCTTGGGTGGGGGATTTCACAGCCACCCTGCCATCACAACACTGCCCAGTCGAACACAAAGGGCACCCACAGGAGATTCTGCCCTGGCCTTCCTCCCTTCAGCAAGCCTGCCTGTGGGAGACACGTCACACTCAGCGGCACACCATCACTTCCTCCTCCTACTTGCCAATCAATCCCACAGAGCCAATAAAATGTCAAGTTCTGTGGCTGCCAAAGAGTGCTGGTACGGCCTCCCACCCCTCAGCACGGCAAGCTGACCTCCCGTTTCCATCTCAGCATCTTCCGTTGGCCTGTCTGCTCCCCTCTGTACTTTGCCTCCAGGATCCTGATAAGAACAGCACTGGGCTTGGTATTTCCACATACCTTGTCTTACATACTACATATCTTATTCCGATTTTACAGATTATAAAATGGAGGCTCAGAGAGTTTAGGAAACATGCCATTGGCCCCACTGCTAGTAAATGGCTACGTAGGGCCTACAACCAAGTCCACTTAAGTCTGGAGCCCATGTTCTTTCTTCTCAATTCACCATGTGTCCACTCTAGGACAGTGCTTCTGCTGAAGGGGCTAGCCCACCCCTCCCTTAATGATCAATGAAATTCCATGCCACAGGACTGAGATGAGCAGCTGCTAAACCAAGGCCTATAAATTATGTGATCTGTGAAATATTCATCCAAGATATATCGGAACAGTGGGTCAGACCCAGAGACCTCAGGCCTCAGGGGCACCACGTCACCTGCAAAGATGGCAAGGAGGAACTTCTAGCTTCTGGAGTGAGATGCAGTTGCCAGGAGGTAGGGCCCACCCTTTTGCTACATGGCCACTCAGGTCTCTGCCATTGGATCTTGATTCCGTCGAAGACCGCCCACGGGGAAGCACTCCCCAGGACATCTCCCATTTGCTTGAGGTGAGTAGCAAGTGGTATGAGCCTCACAGACTGTCTTGATTCACTGTCAATTCAGGGACCTTTGAAATGGAGCTTCTCATAGCTTGCCCCTTCCCTCTGAACAGATCCTGGAGACCCTGCCTCCAGCCTACCAGCCTCCCCTACCCTGCTGGGCACATCGCTATGGGACCTGGCCTGACCCTGTCTGCCCGCTAGGATCTTCCAGTCAAAAAGACCAGTGTCCCGTTATTATTATGCTCTCCATTCTGTCCATCCCTGAAGCACGCAGGATGTCACTCCTCAAGAGTGAATAGCTTTCTCATACTCATTTACATAAAAGAGTTAAAGGATGGAAAGAACACTCTAGAAGCTCCTGGAAGATCTCCTCTAATAGTTTCCGACTGAGCTACAGCCATTTCCCTGTAAGAAAAGGCAGCTGTGTTCTAGCTTTCAAAGGCCAGTGTTCCAGTCCTGGTTTTGAAGACAGCAAGCGTCAGAGCTGCCTTAACCCAGTTTCTTCTTCTTCCTGTTCCCCTTTCCTTCAGCAGATAACCCATCTCTCTTCCCCGCCCCCTGTTCCCACCACAAACCTGGGGAAGTAACACAAGTGGCTAAGGGCACCCCTTCTAGGACTGACGCAGAAGACAGTCGTCCAGACCTCA